TGACCTAATTAGCTGCCTATTTTGACAGTGTGTGAGGACTCTGGTAACCATGATAACCTTGCTCCCCCAAGTCTTTTGAGTGAACCCGTGGGAGCTCTGGAGTCTCTGAGCTCCCCTCGGTGCTGTCTCGTCTGGGGAAATGGCAGGGGGAACTGTGAATGCTGGGCAGTGAGGCTGTGGCTGATGGAAATGACCTTGCTGAGAGGTGTAGCGGGGAGGAAAACAGATTCCAGATTCATCTTCAGGATGCGAGGGAGTGGAGAAATTCCAGTCTTGCTGTTGTTTTTGTATTTAGGGAATTTCATGTGTTGCCTACACGTTGCAAGAATGCCTTGTGTCTGCCCAGCGGGGGAGGCTGTGATGTCCCCCTGCCTTCCTGGAGCCACTTGGGAGCCTCTTTGCTGGGTGCCCTGAACTTGTCTGACATGCTGCAGCAGACCTGCTCTCTCCAGAACTGCCCTTGGTGCGCAGCCAGCTCTCTGTGGAGTCCCCAGTGGTCAGGGAGACTATCCCCATGGGGACTCAGACACCCAGCCTGGGCCCTGCAGGTCTTAGTGAAAGAGACTTTAATTTTCCCCTCATGTCCTTCCAGAGGCAGGAGAGCTCCTTCTGCCTGTGCTTGGGTGCCTGTTCCTGTCCCCACCCTTGTATGGAGAAATTGTTTCCAAAGCTCTTGACATGGGAATAGAATATTCCAGTTGGAAGGGACCAACAATGATCACATCTAGTCCAAATGCCTGACTGTTTCAGGGCTGACCAAAAGTTAAAACTTGTTATTAAAATGTCTCTTAAACACTGACAGTCTTGTGGCATCAACCACCTTTCTAGGAAGCCTGTTCCAGGGTCTGACAACCCTTTCAGGTTGGAAGAAATGCTTCCTCAGGTCTAGACTGATGGTCCTCTGAGACAGTTTTGAACCATTCCCATTCATCCTATCACTGGATATCAGGGTGAAGACATCAGCACCTCCCTCTCCATGTAAGGTGAAACACAGTGCTCAGAGGGAGTAAAGTGCTACTTAGAATGAATTTTGAAACACCTAAGAGGAGATTATTACTTCAGCACCATTATTCCAACTGCTTCATTTCAAAGCCTGTATTAGGGCACTGCAACATGTAGTAGGGATTGCAGATCAAAGCACAGGTGCCCATAGCATGCGGAGCAAGCTCAGGTGCAGGGAGGGTAGGTTTTCATTCCAGCTTTTTCTCAAGAAATGTGAATGCTTGCAAACTGCTTTTTAATCCTTCAGGATTTGGGATTTCTCATTCAACAGTCTGTTTTTTTGTTTTTTTTTACTTGGGTTAATTCAGGTAGCTGGAAGGTGACTGCAGAGTCAGTACAGGTGATGCAGTCCTTGGTGTCTTCTTTCTCCTCCCTTCCTGATCCTTCTTTCTTCTGTGATGTAACCCCCCAGCTATGCTGTGTAACACCAGTGCAATGTTTGTACTTGGGCAGTAATTGTGCATAACACACTTCTTGCTCTTAAGCAAATCTGTTCAGCAAGCATTCCCTCCTTCCCCCCAGTCTTGGCTCCTGCTTTCCTCTCCCGACGCTTTGGCAGCCAGGCGTGCTCTGCAGTCCGTGTGGAAACGAGCCAGCGTGGGAATCTGGGCGCATCCTTGTTGCAGCAGATTTTGGCAGCAGCTGCCTGTGTCTCCTGTGCTGCCAGGAGCATGGCCCTGGTGGAGCCTTACCGTGCCGGCTCCGGGCTCGTAGCTGCCTGTGCTGTCCCAGCTGCTGCAGGTGGGACCTGCCGTGGCCACGGCACACACTTGCTGCTGGAGTTGCCTGCCTGTGATGCGAGACACCTTTGCCTCGTGGCACACAAGACCCTCTGTCCATAATGCCTGCACGTCACCCAGGTGACTTGGTTTGTGCCCTGGGAAGCTTTGAGCCCGAAGAAAGCAAAGTTCTGCTGAGCAGCCAGACAGTGGGTGATGGCAGGGCTGGCCAAACGCCTGAGTGCTGCATACTCTTGCCATGCCACTCCTGGAACACAGGCTGGGATGGCTCCCTGGGATGCTGGGCTGTGTTTAAGGAACAAACTGCCCCGGTGCCCTCCCCCAGCTCTGCCTGTGGGGGCTGGTTGGTGCCCATCACCAGGACAGGGCTGTGCTGCAGACAGCCAAAGGTGTGTGAGTGCCACGGGGGGACTGGCTGCAGCCTGGGGCTCTGAGAGGGCCTCCCAGAGGGCAGACAGTGGGGTCTTTGGGAGGGCTGAGGTGTGCTGGGAGCGTTGACTGACCAGCGTGGTGCAGTGCCCCGTCGTGTCGGGTGCCTGTGTCCTGCTGGGGGGTGGCAGGGAGTGAACTGGGCCGTCTCTCAGTACCCTATAAATATGCCTCTCCCTAAATAGTCTGGCTGTGCGGCAGCCCAGTGGCTGTGCCCAGGTCTTAAAATACTTGGGCTGTTTTAGGAGGCAAGGGGGGCAGGGAGGGAATGCAGCAGTTTGCAGGGTGCTGCTGTTGGGCTTCAGCGTCCCTCTGTCTGCCTGTCCCCAAATGCAGGGACTGG